CTCTTGGGCAGGTCAAGCTTTTGGGCCATCAAAGCCCTGGCCTTGAGTTTCGTCCGTATCATCATCCAATCCATAAAATGGTGTTAGCAAAAGTACTTTTTAATATTATTCATGTATAAAAATTTTGGATCAAGGTTGGGATAATATATTAGTCTATAATTATAATACTAAATTTATGTTTGAATTAAGTAATAATGTATGGTATTAAGTTAAAAATGACAAAACAAATATTGAGAGTAAGAATTGTTTAATGTATAATTTTTACATGAAGGTGTGACTCTAAGTTTGCAAGAAAAATAAAGTCATTGTTTTAATACTGAACTTGTTAAAAATTATACTACATACTACATGATATTCATTACTACATAATATTAGGTGTTAAATGACAATAGTGAACTGGGTCGGAATTAATTAAAAATTAATACCGGATCACTATAATCTTATTTGAACTTAGTATTATATTATCACCGGATTAAATTAATCCAATACACCCCTTAATACCTAAACCAAACATACATTTGGGGTCTAGCCTTATCTAAACTAATTAGTTTAGACACAACTTGATAAAATTTTAAGTTTTTTTTATTAAAAAAAAATCCTTGTAAGCAGTTGCTCATTCTCTCTAAGCTTAGTGGTGTATGTACTATCTCCCTCCCCCTCCCCCTCCCCCCTCCCCCACCCCAAAAAAAAAAAAAATAAATAAAATATATATATATATATAGTAGTAGTACCCATTTGAACATCTATGAATGTATCATTTATAGACTAAGATGTATATAGGTCTCCTATGCAAAATACGAATCAATCACATATTTACTCTATTGACAAATAAATCAACGTTACCAAGATGCTGCTACACTAGGGTGGGGAGAGGAGAAGAGAGATCGAGGGTGACTTTTTTGTGTTTTTTTCCTTTTTACCAACTACAAGTAAAGCGGGTGAAACATGCTTTAACCTTGTAGAATATCATATCAAATTGCAGGGCCTTGTGATTTGTAGGGCACAAGGTATGCTCTTCTCTGAAGCTGGAATAAGGGGTTGTCCGCCTTATCATCCAAAAATGCAGTGGGCCAGTTGTTTTACACGCTCAAAAGAAAGAGCAAACAACTATATCCGTAATTCATGCCATAAACCGTGCATGACTACCTCCAATGCGACAAACAAAATTCTCCACAAATCCTTGCAAGTATTTTTCATCACTTGTTATATTTTCTGTCTTCTTGTGAGGTGTAAAATCCTATAGGCTATAGTTGAGAGTCATGCCAAAAACTTTCAATTATTTGAAGTGGTTGGCCTCCAATCCCTTACTAATGTGACAGAAGATTTTGTACTTCTTTGGAAAACACTAATAATTGGATCTTATCTTCTTGTCAATAAGAGTATAGACAATCACCGCTACACTTTCAAAGAATAGTAGCTAAAAAGAATTTAAAAAAATGTGTTTTGATATTTTTTGTGTCTAAAAGTTTGTTTAATTATATAATTTTAAAAATAGTTCTACAATACAAAAAAAAGTAAAACTTGTATGGACAATAACAAAAAATAATAATAAAAATAGTAATCTAAAAATAAATGGTTTTCTTAATTTTTTTCGATTCTAATCATATTATACCCGCTTTAATTTCTTCTCAATTATCAAAATAAACATGTTATACCCAAAGACCCAAACACAACACTGTAATAATACCAAATAACCATCGTATTATAGCTAGCTTTAATCATATTATACCTAAAAACACAAACACAACACCAAAATAATATGAAATAACCATCATATTATACCCAGATTTATGAATTTTTTTGTAAATCATGTATACCCAGAACTTCAATCATGTAAAAACCAAATCTGATTTTACAGATCTGGTTAGATCTGTAAAAACCAAATCTATGAATTTTACAAACACACTTACACACAAAGACAGGGAGGTCGGAGTTGTTGGTCGGAGTTGGAGCCCAGCTGGTCGTAAAGAGACGTCGAAGCTGTAGGTGATCGTTCATCGTTCCAGGTGTTCGTCATTTGTCGTTTCATGGGAGTTTTTAGGATTTATATAGTAAGGTTTTGATTTTGTAACCAACGGGATTCGATGGTGAAATCTCATTAATAGGACTTTTGTTTCTTGTGTTTTCCCTTTTTCTGAAAACCTATTCCCAAATTTGGCCAAAACACCAATCACTTGTTTTCTAAGACTCCACCTTAATTACTATTTTTTTCTGAAATTAAAGATGTAAAAAACCTAACCAAACAAGTTTTCTCTTATTTTTAGAGTTTTGAGAATAAAAAATTGTTTCGTAAACACAAACCAAATAGGGCCATAGTTTCTAAAAGTTGAATCAGATACACGACCACAATCAATATCCTTGTATTTGCATAACCAATTGGACAATTTTGAGGAACTAATCATAATCCTTATAGAAATGAAAGATCATATGTTAATACTTTCTCACAGAGAAGTGAAGATTTCTTTCCTTTTCTTTTCTTTTTTGAGCAAGAAACAAAAGAAGATTGAAGTTCCACGTATGGGTTTCAACAGCAAGTTGCTATTGATGAAAATTTGGAGCTTGGGATGATTCCAGAAAGTGTCACAACTCTAATGTCGTCATGTAGAATGGTAAAAGTTTTGGGAAGATTTAAATCTCTGCACTAGATATGTCAACTTCATCATGGACACATGATTGAACCTTCAATTCGGACTTCCTGAGAAATTAATTCTAGTGTACATATATTGTACTTTATTGCAATATTAATTCATTGTAATATACTATACTTATTACTTACCCAAAAAAAAAAAAAAGACTATACTGTACAAATCATGTATAAAAAATCCAATTATTTTATCTTTAAAGCGTTATATCATATAGTAAGAAGATCTCATTCAATACCCGTTTCCTTAATTTTCTCAAACCTATTATAAGCTCAAGTACCCCATATTCATATGTGATTTCCCAATCATATATAATGAGTGAATTAACGTTGAATAAAACAGAATAAAAGTGTATTGGGAAATTTCTAGATCCTTAACGAAAAAAATAAAAACCTGTGGTTTCTCCTTGAATGATGTGGCTGAAGTGTTCAGCCAGAAAATAGAATGGGATCGTGGTCCCTAGCCTTAGAAAAGGGTATTAAATGATGTCTAAGCAACTCACCACCGATTGCTAGCAATCAGAGGGAATTCCAATATTCAAGAATGTTGAAATTTTGTTTTAATATATCTTTCTCGTATCGATTAAAGCGAAACTTGAGGTTTCAATAAACTCATACGAGATATTCACATTTTTTGTCTGAGTTCATCAAATTATATGAGAAAGATAAATGTTGTCTTCACCGCGCAATTGAAAAAATACAATACCTAAATACTATTCGTTCTAACTTTCAGAAAAGAAAAGAATCAAGATAATGCAATTTTATAAGAATGGAGTTTGTTTTTTTTTTTTCCAAAGGTAGAATTTAGAAATGAATTATCAAGATAATGCAAATGGCAAATGGTAAATGGCCGGCCAATATAAGGATCTAACAGAGATATATTCATCAAGTAGAATACTTGTACTTCTCCACATACATGTATTCCAGATTCTAGCTAGCTTGTCGTTTGTGATCTCCATGACTGTGACTAATAATGTACACTCAGTGGACAAAAAAATATCCTCTACATTTTTGTGTGATTTTGAGACCCTCAACAATGAAAATATAAATAAATAAATAAAGGCAAGCTATTTTATTTTCACATTATTTTTTTTATTATAGGGTGTCCAAGTTTGTATCGACTACTCTCTCGAATTTTAAATCAACCACTATAATTCGAGCTAATTTAAATACATGATAAACAAGTTTAGCATCTCTTAATTCTAGTAATTTTCCTCCAACAGGATGATTAAATTTTCGATCGCTGTCTAATAATGCTGTTGAAAGCAACATCTACACGTGGATGGTAATGTAATATTTTGTGTTACATCAAAATCATAATCTTTGGTAACAACTATTGATTGTCTTGTGTCCAAACTGGTGGCTGCAAGATGTTTTGGCTGCAAGATGTTTTCAAGTTTTAACTGCTTCATAATTGAAAAGACGGTGTTTGTTGTTATCAAATCCTTTATGGCATTTCACTTGCAGATTGGAATGTTATGTAAGTCACTACAATGGCATCCATAGTATTCATATGGAGATCGGATATGATATAGTGTTACAGTATGTGTGACTCATATTTGTTGTCTGCACAATGGCAAAGAGGTAGATGCCGGAGCGGGTACTAGGGTTATATAAATACTTAAGATGTAATCTTACTTTGAATAATGGAAAAGAACGGTCGCTCGCTCCTGTGGATGTAGGCACATTGCCGAACCATGTAAATCTCTGTGTTATTTTCTCTTGCTTTCTTAATTGATTGATTCCTTATTATTCACCACAATTGTTGCACAATCACAACATATAGAAACTTTTATAAGAGATGTCACTGCATCCAAATAAATGGTGAGAAAATTAGGAAGAAAAACTCATCATCATCTCCATTCTATGTCAAACATTGTGACAGCTTCCTTTCCGAAAATGAAACATCTAACTCATATAGGATTGAAAATTTTCATTTTCCAGACGTTCGATTTTACATTGCCATATTCATGGCTGATAAGTGGTGAGGCTTCCTAATACTAATAGTTGATTTGCTTCTTGCTCAACTATTGCTAAGCTCACATATATCTGTGTGTGTGTAGCCTAATGTACGAGTCTTAATTTGTGAAGGCTTAGATAAAGCAATCTTACGTCACTCAAATTAATCACAATGAAATAATTTTATGATCACACGAATGTTGGCACATAATTTTTTTTTTTTTGAGAGGAGCGGGGAGAGGGAGAGGGAGGGGAGGAGAGAGGAGAGACTTAAACGCTTAACCTAAAGAAGATAAAGTTTTTATAAGATAAAAAATATCATTGAATCAAAAACCCGATAGTATATAATTAATACAATAGTGCATGTAAAATAAGAACATACCACATAGCATTTCACTGTCTATCCATCATAAATGGATGTGGCATCACCAAGGAAATGCCCACCGCAAGAATTGGAATACCCTAACTCAGACAAATAATAATCACTCACACTCTCAGACCAAACCTCTCTCCCACCATCTATCAGCTCCGGCAGGTCAATTTCACCCCAAAAGTCATCACCACCGTCGCCATCCAATTCTCCGCCTTTCTTCTCCACCATCACTACCGCCTTTGCCGCCATAGCTGCCGCCTCCTGAATATCCCTAGCTTTACATGAGGAAGGCCGTGGTAAGAGCTCGATTTCGTCTGGAAAATTTAACTGTGCTTTACGTCCTTTCAGACAGTATGCAGCAACATCATATGCCCTCGCCGCCATCTCCGGCGCCGGAAAAGAACCTAGCCATATACGTGACTTTTTTCTTGGTTCCCTAATTTCCGAAACCCATTTGCCCCAACGTCGTTTCCGGACACCTCGGAAAACTGGATGCCTTGTACCACCTCGAACAATGCCGGCTTCTCGGTGATTGTCGCCGGTGGTGGTCTCCGAAGACGTGGTTAGGTCATCTTCAGAGCATGGCGGTGGTTGCTCCATTACATAAAAAAAAAAAAACCGTTGGCTTCTGCTTGTATGCCTTTAATATTGATGTTTGTATGTAATAGACAACATCTGCATATCAACCAATCCTTCCAATTCCTACATTACCATTTCAACATTAAGTTGATAAAACATGCATCAAGCCCATAAAAGCGCGTGATATTCCTAGGGGTAATGTATCTCATAACGTAGATAAAGTTCATAGTGATTGACTGATTACAAGACTAATAAACGATCCGAGTAATTTAAGATTGATAAGACTCGATTAGGTTTTGGCTTCGACTTGTTTAGGTTTGTTCAATAGTATATCGTCAGTCGAATATGGTGACAGCTATAAGGTCGGTAGTTTTGGATCCCCCTATTACTCTTTCTTTTCAATTTCTTTTAATGCAGCACTAGATGAGTTACATGCGTATGATTTTGAGTTTCAATAGACAAAATTTTTTCTTATTCATTTTATTAGGATCTATAAATAGACCAAATCCAAGTAATGTGTGACACTAATCAAGTAGGGTTCCATCTTCAAATATATTATTTTTTATCTCATATTAATGTCTTAAGATTATCTACAACCTTGACTCAAACATTTCTTTAAATTTGAGTTAACAAATTGAGTTAATAAATTATGTAATATAAAGCATTCTAATGGACAAATTAGAATTTAAAGGAGGATAAACTCAAATTTTATAAATAAATAAACCCAAATTTAAAGGAGTGTGAAAGATTTGAGTCTTTTTTAATTTTAGTAAAAATTTAAATCTCATTTTATTTGGTATGAGTTTAAGTAAAAGACATCACCTTTTTTTTAACTTGTTTCTACTCAAATTTAGGTTTGTGTCAAGATTTGAGTGAGAACTGATGCACTGATAAACCGTATTCAAAAAATTTAATATTACAATTAAAAAATTGAATTCTCAACTGATAAAAATAAAATAACACTTAAGATTGATCATTTTTTTTTCACTTATATTCCGTTTGGTACGATGGAAAAGTGAGAGGATAGAAAGTTAGAAGGATGAAAAGTTGGAGGGATAAATAAAACATCATATTTTGTAAGGAAGAAAAGTAGGAATGATAGAAAAGTGGATGGATTAACTTTCCTTCCAACTTACCAAAATCAATCCCTCCAAAATCGGAAGGAAAGTGGATGAAAAATTAATTATTTGTGTTAAGATGTATCTTATTTGTCTATATATCTTTTTATATATATACATATATTATGTATACATTAATTTTATATAAAAATACAACGGTAAAATATGTATGTATATATATATATAAAATAAAAAAAAAATTAAAAAAAAAATCATCTTAACTAAAGGTGAAAATTTTTGACTCAACACGACTCGAACTCGATACGAAAATAAACAGGTCAACTCGCAACTCGACACAACACAATTAGTTAAATGAGTTAAGTTAAATTTGACTAATATTCGATACAAGCCCGTAATGACTTACACGAATCTAACACGACAAGATTCAATTGTCATTCCTAATTTTAGCCATCACAAAAAAAAAAATAGTTATTTTTATTTTCTATCCATCCAACCAAACACAAAAGAAGGAAAGTGTATCATTCTTACTTTTCATCCTTAAAGGATAAAAAGTGTATCCTTCCTACTTTTCATCATTTTTACTTTTCATCCTCTCTACTAAATGGAGCATTGGATATAATGACATGAAATTCATCCCAATTTTTTTTCTTGCTCATAAGCATCATCTTTTCTATATCGCTCCTAACATCAAACAATTCAACCAACTAACTCTCTAACATTAAATAACCGTATTAACATATATCTATCTTGCTCTTCTCTTTTTCTTATCTCTCTCTTATTTTTTCTTTATTCACTTTAATTTTAAAATGAGTAATTAAATAATATAAAATATAAAATAAAAGTATAATTTAAAATATAAAATATTATACGATCAATACTTAATTAATTTTTATATTACATAGTGTTTTTAGACACAAGGTTATTTGCGGTACTTCTCTATGTTCCAATACTTTTTTTGAAAATTTAAACTTAAGAGGTATGATGTCCTGATTAATTATACAGATTTTGAAAGATAGTTAAATAAAAATTGACTAATATAGAATTAATTATCGAATTAAGTTAATATAAGAATCTAATTTCAATAATTCAACTCTAACTCGAGATCGAACTTCACTTGACTGGTCACAACCGAGCCAAGCCTAAATATACTCAAACTTAATTAAGATTTTGCTACATAATTATCCATAATTAGTTGATTGTACAAAATTGGATGCGAACGGCAAGCAAAGCGCGTGGGAAGAGGGGCGGGGGTTGTTGGAATTTGCTTGAGTCGATTTGACAATATTACCCTTTTTGCGATAGATCACTATCAAAGCTCAACGATAAAAAGCTTTCGGGCTCCATAGGGGTGGGAGGTTCACAGGCGGACAACACGTGACTGCGGTGACCTCCATTTGTGTATTTTTTGCCTTTTTCCTAGGATTTTTTTTTTTAACTGTATTTTATAACAGTAATCTTAATTAAAAATAATTATCTCATTCCTAGAAATAAGATACCTAAGTTTTAATTATTATAATAATCTTATATTTAGTATTTAGTTATTGTTAATAATCTAATGTGAGAATTAATGTCATTGTCAAATTATGTTAAAAAATAATTTAATTTTAAAAAGGAGATTGATTTTAGAAGGAGAATTTAATTTTTGAAATGACGTTAATTTTATGAAAGAGTTTCATTTTGGGATTTTTATTTTTTTTTATAAAATACTCAATCAATGTAGGTATGAGATTATCACCATTAGCCAAGCCCCAAGGGTTTAGGGTACCTAACATTATTGGGAATTAAATTACGGTATTAATCTTATTCCTGAGTTATATTACTGAATAATTGAATCTCTAAACCTGATAATTTAGGATTTAAGAATGTGAATCTCATTCTCAATCAAGATTATCATCATTCAAACCAAGCTTTAGTGGTGTTTTTAAATAATCGAGGACAACCATGTAAATATCGTCTATTTTGAACTCGTAAGAAATAGAGATCATTAAGGAATAATCAAATTAGATAATTTGAATGTATTGATAGACATTTTATTATTGCACGATGAGAAAAAACAATAAAATAATAACTATTGAAGATCAAAGTATTAGGTATTGAAATTCTGTCATTCGAATTATTTTAGTAGATTTAATTGAGTTATTTTTATTTGTCTCTTGCAATAGTGTCATGTTGTACTTACATGCTTATTATGTGATTGAATATGTATACTTGTACTTTATATTATAGACTTTATGGTATTGAATTTTCAAAGACATGCGGTTTAGACAATTCTTTATCTTGAAATAATTATAAATTTTGTTGTTACCATGATTTTATATGCTTCTATTACTTAAATAAATATTCGTAGTGTAATTTTTCAGAAATTTTGGATGCTTGCTCGTGATCTGTTTCTATCCTACCAAATGAGGGTAACGATTGTGTCACATCAATATTATCATTTGACATAACCGTCCAATAGTAAATCATTAATATGAAAAGTGAATCTCACCTATTCACATATCATATAATGAATTCATTTGGAACTAACTTTTGAGGGTGCGAAATAAATATTTGAAAAGTATAATGAATAAATTAGAATTAAAAAAACTCTTTAAACTGTTTGAAGCATTTCTAAAAAAATTGATTTTTCTTTGAAAATTGCGCTACATAACAATATTATGTGCAACCCTTACTACCAATATTTACTTCCAAATTAGATCCCGCTTTGTTTTGGTTTTTCCCCACAATCCTCTTACAATATCACAACAGACAACACTCCTGTCTACGAAGGACGAAAATTAAAGGCCACTGTAAGGACGAAAATGACCCAAAAACACGAAAGCGACCCTTCTCCCCCTTAGCTGGGTTGGGCTCGATTCGTACAAGGGCCAGTAATCACAACGCCTGGTTGATATTTGGACCGTACGATATGGCTAATCTCTGCCGTTAAAAAAAAGAGTTCTTTAAAAGTCGGTACATCTAATTAAACTTATTTGATAAAAAATACACATTAAAAAATATTTTGAAAAAGGACTTAAATGCCATTTTTTATTATTTTTATTTCATTAAAAAATGTGACATTACATTTATTATAACTTCTAAAATTTAGGCTCCATTAATTCAAAATCTTTTTAACTTCATCAAAAATCGTTATGTATCTCTTTGTTCCAAGGAAAACAACGGCCGCTTATTATTTCTCTTCCCACCAAACTACTAGTATGCATATCCATTCAAAAAAACTAATTCATCTTCTTTCTCAAGCCGATTCAAGTTACAAACGATCAATCGATTGAAGAGGGTTTTCTTGGAAGTGGATTTTTTCGGCATTGTCATTTGAAGTGGGTTTTTTCGGCATTGAACCCTTGTAACTTTGATCTTTGTTCGTTGTTTGCACTATGGTCGATCGTGGTTGGGTATTCTGTATTCATTCACTGTTTTGATCGTTGAAGAGGTAATCTATGTATGTATATTTATGTGTGCGTGTGGTCTGTGTGTATATATATATATATTTCATGTTTATATAATTGTGTGTTATCATAATGGGTTACATTACACTTTTCATTTATTTTTTTACTTTAATTTCATGTATTGGAACCCTATTTTGTTGTTTGAATATTGAGAGACGAATAATGTTCATCTTTGTTATTTTTTTGTCAGAAGCCTTTAAATTATGTGTTGTTTATACCATGAATTGTTGGATGTTGTAATCCTTTTTTTTTTTCAATTGCTGGCATATCTGTGTGAATTGGGTTGACTGAATGCATATGCACACAGATGTTGTGTTGTGTTGGATTATAAAATGAATGTTACACTTTTGTTGTTACACTTGATTTGAAACACTTTTATTTTGTTACACTGAATCTTGTTTTTTTTTTGTTACAAAATTTTATTGTGATGTGAAGTGTTAAGTGACACAATTGTTTATTATTTCTTATGTGTAATTCTATCTGATTACATTGTGTGTAAAT